CTTTAAGAAAGTAAACACAGAGACAGAAGCTGTGTCATTCAAATTGGTATGTCTAGCATCTTTCATAACATTCAAAAAACAAGTATTTGTTGAATAAATGAACCTCAAATGGGGATGCTAGTAATTGAATATAATTTCCACAAGTGTGCCCTTTTAGCTATATATTTTATCTTCTCTTTCTATGTTGTTTCTCCCCTCACTCTTCATTTTCCCCATGTGAAGGCTCCCAGCTAGGCCATGCCTTCTCAAGTCTGTTCCCCTGGTTTTACACTGAGTAGATGCCCTTGGTTAAGCACCTGAGCCATATCTGACCCCAAAGATCACAACCTACCCTTAGTGCTCAGGACCTCAGAAAATGCTGGTCCCGTTAGGCAGCCCAATCATACACCAGCTGGACAGTTTCCTTTTTTTCTTTCAAGAGCATAGGGACACTTGGACATATGATAGGGAACAATAAATACAAATTAATGAATTCTCAGTGAATTTGGTGTAAAAAAAAGAAAACAAACCAACAAACTTATCACCTGATTTGAGGAAAATTCTTTTAATTCAGAGGTAAAGTGGAATATATTCAGATTACCAATTCAACCAGTTAGTTTATCTGCATTGTTAAGGAATGATGTACATGGAAAATTTTTACAACCATGATGTTTTATATATTACTGACATTTATTCTAAAGAAAAATCTCTTTCATTTTGAAATTCTGTTCTATAAATTTATCCTAAAGAATACTTTGCAAGTGAGCAAAGGTAAAGAATGTTCATTGAAGCATCTTTTGTAAGATAGCAATCCACACCTGATCTTAGCCAAAAGGCCGAGAAGCGATAAGATAGCAATCCAAATGTCAACTGATAGGAGACTAGTTAAATAAATTATGGCCTATTAATTAATACAATAAAATACTATGTAGCTACCAAAAAGAATGAAGCAGACTTCTCCATACTACCTTCAGGTGTCCATGATATAGTAGGAAGTGGGAAAAAAAAAACAGGTTATAAAGCAGAAATGTACACAGTGATCACATTTCAATTTTTAAAAATGTTCATTCATACTTGGTGGGAAAAAAGGCCAACATTTATTAAACACTTACTGTTAGTAGATACTGTTTTAAATTCTTTACACATATTAACTTATTTCTCAGAACAGCCCTATGAAATAGGTATTATTATCCCCATTTTATAGATAAAGAAATAGGTGCAAAGAGATTAAGTTCTTGTTCAGGGTTGCTAGCAATTGGCAGAGTCAGAGTTTATTCCCCAGCAGACTGGTTCCAATGACTGGAATGGAGTAGATTGTTAATGGTGGTTATATCTTAGGAGATAGGATTAGATGGGACTTTTTTGTTGTTGTTACATTTTTCTGTAAAGTTTGACTTTTTAAAGAAACAATAAATGTTACCTTTTTGGCCTAGACGAAAGAAAGACAAAAAGAGAAAAAAGTGAAAACTGCTGTCCCATTCACTGTCTGGGGGTAGATAAGAGAGAACGTGATTTCAGTTAAGACTAGTATGGTATCTATCTTAACACTCTCTTTTGCCAGATCTATTGGCTCATTTATTTTCTCTTCATAGAATGTCTCCAGAGAAGTTCCCAGGGATTCAAATAAAAGTCTAGAAGTTGGCGTCTCTTAGAGTTTGAAGCTTTATTGACTGATATAGTCTAAGCTTCAGAGAGAAAAAAAAAAGCAACTCAACCACATAGTTGAATTTCCATGGTTGGCTGGAGGCAGAACCTTCACTGTTCCTGCTCAATTCAGTCGGGGCCTCTGGCAGGGGGGTGGGGTGGGGCACCCACCTACCGCATGAACACTTCTTGTAAGAGTCAAGGCTACGGAGAGAGATACCTCCATCCACTGAAAGGACACTTGAAAGTGAGCCCAAGCCAGCTGCAAGGTGTTGAATGATTCTGTGCTGCTAAGACAATGACCAAAGATAAGGCAAAGGCAAGCCAGGACCAGACTCCATTCTTCTGACTTTAAGGTGCACCTGACTCCCGGCCTCTCATGTGCTGTCTCCCTAGATGGACAATAATATGACAAATTTTCTTTTTTAAAAAATGTTTCCCCTGATAAAAGTAATAAATGAGGGCCGGCTTCGTGGCTTAGCGGTTAAGTGCGTGCGCTCTGATGCTGGCGGCCCGGGTTCGGATCCCGGGCGCGCCCCGGGACACCGCTTCTCCGTCCAACGCGAGGCCGAGTCCCGCGTGCAGCAACTAGAAGGATGTGAACCTATGACGTACAGCTATCTACTGGGGCTTTGGGGGGAGAAAAATGAATAAATAAAATCTTTAAAAAAAAAAAAAAAAAAGTAATACATGATTTTAGAAAATAAAGCTCAGTTATAATATCATCACCCAGATATAACCAGTTTTGCTATTTTGGTACACTTCCTTCTTGTCTTTTTTAAAAAGTTCATATATACAGTATGATACATATTTTATTTTTTTATTTTTTATTTTTTTAAGATTTTATTTATTTTATTTTTTGCCCCCAAAGCCCCAGTAGATAGTTGTATGTCATAGCTGCACACCCTTCTAGTTGCTGTATGTGGGACTCCGCCCCAGGATGGACAGAGAAGTGGTGCCTCAATGCGCACCCGGGATCCGAACCCGGGCCGCCAGCATCGCAGCGCGCGCACTTAACCACCAAGCCACAGGGCCGGCCCATGATACATATTTTAAAATTTGGACCATACTATACATATAGTTTTGCATCTTTGTTTTGCAATTAACATTATATTGTAAACATTTTCTCTGACATAAAATATTCCTTGAAAAATAATTTTTAGTGGCAGAGTAACTCATACCCTCTCTATTTAACTATTCAGTTATGTAGTTAGTTAACTATTTAATTTATGTAGCTAAGGGTCTCTATACCAGATCTAGAGGCAGAACAGGTCCAAGTAAGGTTTCATTTCCACCTTTCCCCTATTAACTACAGGAAAGACTGCACCACCACCAGGGGTCAGTGCAGAGCTGTCTAGTATGCCTTGATGTAAGAAAATTAGTTACACAAGAATCCATATAAACAAATCCTATTAGATTAGAGGACTATTCATATGAGTAGCCAAATTCCCTCCCAGAGTGGGCTCCCATAGTGCATATTTTTCAGATCAGAAATTATCAGAGTCCTCTAAATTAATTTATATTCAACATTTACAAAACAGCTATTTTTATAAACCAAGGTCTATCAGTACAAAGTGTACTATTAGACCTGTTCTCATCTGCTTGGTATGAGATCATCTGTGCATAAAACACTTGGCCTATTTTATAGGTTTGTTATGAAAAGCAAAAAAAAAACAAACAAATGAGGGCCGGCTCCATGGCGTAGCGGTTAAGTGCACACCAATGCACTGCTTGTCAGGCCATGCTGTGGCAGTGTCCCATATAAAGTGGAAGAAGATGGGCACAGATGTCAGCCCAGGGCCGGTATTCCTCAGCAAAAAAGGAGGAGGATTGGCATGGATGTTAGCTCAGGGCTGATCTTTCTCACAAAAAAAAAAAAAAAAAAATATCTTGTAAATTATGAAGCAGCATTTAAACTTGAAGTTGCCCTATTTCAATGATGTGCTATTCAGATATTTGGATGAGTTATGTCCTATAAAAACTAAAGAATCCCAGGGCCGGCCCCGTGGCTTAGCGGTTAAGTGCATGCGCTCCGCTGCTGGCGGCCCGGGTTCGGATCCCGGGCGTGCACCGATGCACCGCTTCTCCGGCCATGCTGAGGTCGTGTCCCGCGTACAGCAACTAGAAGGATGTGTAGCTATGACGTACAACTATCTACTGGGGCTTTGGGGGGAAAAATAAATAAATAAAATTATAAAAAAAAAAAAAAGCTCACTCTTCATTAGTGTGAGAATTGTTTTAAAAAAAAAAAAAAAACAAAACTAAAGAATCCCAGGTAGTATCAGGATTCTGAAATGAGGTATAAGAGCATATGCTTTGGCATGATCATGGATTATTTCATTGCTTTTCCTCCCCCTAGCCTTTGCTCTCCAGCTGTTGAAGTCACTATGGAATTAGTAATCTGTTTTTCCTAGAAGCTGAAGTTAACATTTATACTCAATTTGGTGTTTGTTCCTTTCCATCCTCATTTACTTGAGGCTCCTTCAGGAAAATGACTCGTGAGCTCAGAACTGCTTAAACAACTTATAAGTAGGTGAATGACAGGGATCAAAAAGCTACTCCAGGCCCAACATGCTTGATGGGCTACAGCACAGGTAGTTGGCACCCCTGGTCTCTCTAAACCCAGAAGTGATTCTTAGGAGCAAAAGGCACCAAGGGCCCTATTTCCTACCTGGCCAGGCTTCTGACTCACCCCTTCACCCTTCCTTCTGTTCTCCTTTCCTCTCCAGTTCCCTGTGCTCCATCATTTGGCATCAGGGATGAAAAGGAGCTAGGGTTAGGCATTCTGGGGACCAAGCAGCTTTCAAAACCAGCTTGGCATAGCCTTGTCTGAGAGCAGTCCAATCTGCTGACAGGTCCACTCTGACCAATCTCAGAACACACAGGGGCCTGGGCAAAGTAGGTCCTGGTAGTCCCTTATCATTGGCACCTACTGGGTTAGAGCTTGAAGCTCCCTGGCAGAAGCAGGGCACAGAGGCCACATGAAGAGAACAAGGATGCATGCACAGCAGCTCACACTGCCCTGGGACAGCTCCAGTGGAGAGCAGTCCTGTGTCTTCCCTCTGAGGTCCTTTGTCTTAGAGCAGGATCTAACACAGGGCACCAATTAAATAGCTTGTGCTCCTGATAAGTGCAGTTTCTGGTACATAGTAAGTGTTCGATAAATATTAGTTGCATGAATCAACGACAGGTTTAGGCCATTAGACCAGCAGCAGAGGACAGAGTGCCTGAAGAGAGTTACATTTCTCTGGTCAATCAAAAAAAATAAATAAATAAACAACAGTCCTGGGACTGGAGTAGTGGAACTAAGCCCATAGACTTGAAAGGAAGTCAAGAGGGTCCCAAGAGCTGGACATAAACCCAGGAAAACTGAAGGGTCATACAACAGCGATGCAGCAAACCAGATCAATCACTGTTATTATTTAAGAGCAGTTTCTAGTACACGCGCCCTCAGGGCACCTACCATCCCCACAAGGGCCAACTTCCTGAGATCAGAGTCTGATCAGCTGGCTGGCGCCACCCTGCATCCAGGAGGGAGTGGGGGGACTCATCCAGGAGGGCTCTGACATACCAGCAGAGCTGACAAAGAGGCCCCACAGAGATGTGGTGATTCCCTTAGCCATAGAGCTGCAGTCCTTATGCCTCCTAACCTGCTAGGGCCCCCATCTGCTTCAGTCTCAGAGGATGCTGCAGAAGCCTGTGCTCCAGAATAGGCTGCCAGTTGCCTGGGAAGGAGCCCAAGGGCACACACAGACTGGTTACTCAATGTTGTCATAGACCTGGATCACATCCTCATGGTTGCCGAGAGCCTGGATGAGACGGGCAGCCTGCTCCAGGTCGGGGTCAGCCAGCCGCACCTTTGTGTTGGGGATGAACTCCAGCGTACAAGACACAGAACACAAGCCCAGGGAGTCCAGCTTCTTCCTCACCTGATGCAGTGAAGAGGCATCACAAATAAACTAGGGGCAAAGGAAAGTCACGAGGTGAGGAGCCAGGAGATAACAGGACAAAGCCAGAGAGAACTCCGCAAAACCTGAATGGAACTACTATACTGTATCACTAGGTTTAAGCTCTTCACTGGCAGAGAAATAGTTTTCAGTGTTCTGAATCCTTCTCACAGTCCTCAGTAGAGTAAGCCCTATCCATTATTCATTTAATAAATGTTTGTGCAATATGTGAACTCTTTATGTCACCTGCACCCCGGGTGCAGGAAAGAAGAAACCGAGAGGCATGCCTTAACACGTCTATTAGGACCCTCTCGCAAGTCCACCAAACACTAAGGCTTCATACTCACTTTAAAAATGTTCTTTTCCTCTTCGTCTTCAGTTTCCTTGACATCCTCAGCTCCTGCTTCGATTGCCAGCTCCAGGGCACGCTCTAGGTTCACAGCGTTCTTCTCTCTGTCCTCCACTCCAACCACAATCACCCCCTTTTTGTCAAAGGAGTGGCGAGCTCCTTCAGCCATCATTCCCCTGATAGGAAAGGAGAGGGGCCAGAGCGAATGCCTTCAGACACTCAGCTTCCACACAGCACTGCGTTCTAACACTCTACTTCCCACCCAGCCTCGGGAGTACAGACAGACATGGAGCAGCTCTCTTCCTGAAGGAGAAGATGCAGCTACCGCTGGGCAAAGGAATAATTCAAACATCTCCCCACCCTCTATTTTCTGCCCTGATGAGAGTTTGGAGGATACAAAGACTTTGCTCATCATTTCCTGTGCCATTAAGACTCCAGTCCTGGTGGTACATTTTAAGACCTTGACATTATATGCCTATAGAGGGGATAATGGGACAACGAGGTCCTTCTACATGTGATGAACAAGTCTTTTGGATCCTGCCTAGTACAAAACACATTAAAGGAGAATAAATGATCCCATTTGGATTCTGCTAAATATGAAATGTGCTTAAAACTTGAAACTCCACCAGGAACAACAGTACTTTCCTTGCAAAGAATTGGAACCTCAAGGCTCCATCCCCTTCCACTCTCCCCAGACACACACCTACCCATTCTTGTTCAGGATATGTTTGATGTCTGAATGGCACTTGGAGCCACTGTTAGATAATACTTCAATGAGCAGAGAAGAGCCACCAGGGCCTCGACCCTCATAAAGCAAATAAACGTCCTTGGTTTTCTGCAATAAACAACATAAGCACATTTTCCTGTTTCCCTAATCCCTCCTGCATGTCAGCCCAGAGCCACAGACACCACAAAGTGGATTCCATGGGATAGGCTCTCTGGGGTAGAGCCTAGGCTCTCAAGTCTTTATTTTTGTCCCCACCCTCTGAGAGGAGACCCTTGGGACCAACTTTTGAGCTAAGTGGAAGTACTACCCATTCCTTGGAAGGGAGTCTATTTCTCTGGTCCCTGAACAATCAATCAGCTATATCCCCACTTTGTTCCCTCCCCTCCCCTGCGGAATCCCACATCTGTCCCCCAGTCACTCCCACCAAGACTCATCCTCCTACACCCCATCCCACCTGAAACCCACCTGTGAAGTCTCAATGCTCCTACCCCTGGGCTGCTGAGTAACTGCTGTGGGAAATTACATACCTGGGCCCTATCATAAGAGCCACTGAAAATAGCACAGCCACAAATTTTAAACAGTCAATCAAAAACTCTAATGACCAATCTCACCTAGACCTCCCATGCCACCTCTACTCATCCCTTGCCCATGCATCCGATCTTCATCACTCTCTCCAAGCCCTTCTGCCTCCCAGGAACTGTCAACTGATGACTTCTTCCTTCCTCTTTTACAAAGGAAATAAAGGACCACCAGGTGGGGGAAAATCCTCTGCCTCCACCACCTTATCTGCACCACAGCCCACAGGAAGGCAGTATGTATAGTGGATAGAGCACAGGCTCTGGAGTCTGACTGTCTGGTTTCAAGTCTGTCATGTTCTGTGTGACTTGGTCACCTAAGCTTTCTGTTCTCAGTTTCCACTTAAGGCTGTTTTGAGGATTCAGTGAGATAACGCATACAGAATTCTTATCAAAGTATTTGGTTTAGAGTAAGTACTCAATAACTATTAGCTATTAAGATGATTATTACTTCCTCAGATCCTTCCTACTTGCCCCAGAGGAAGAGGTGTCCCCTCACCTGGGCTCAAAGACAATTTCTATACCTGGGCTCTACATCCCTAGTCCTCCCACCATCACCATCACCGGCACCCTCTCTGTTTCTACTGGCTTTTCTCCTTTAGGGCATAAATATCTAAAAAGAAAAACAGGGGCCGGCCCGGTGGCGCAAGCGGTTAAGTGCGTGCACTCTGCTGCGGTGGCCTGAGGATCACAGGTTCGGATCCTGGGCGTGCGTGCACTGACTCACCGTTGTCAAGCCATGCTGTGGCGGCGTCCCATATAAAGTGGAGGAAGATGGCCATGGATGTTAGCTCAGGGCCAATCTTCCTCAAGGAAAAAAGGGGAGGATTGGCATCAGATGTTAGCTCAGGGCTAGTCCTCCTCACAAAAAAATAAATAAATAAAAAAAGAAAAAGAAAAAGAAAAACAAACGCTTCCTCAATCTAACACCAGGGCCTTCCCCACACTGTGCCCCTTCCTTCTACCCCATCTCCTCACAACTTGACTACGCAGTCCTCGGCTGTATGGTTCTGTAAGTTGTCTATCCATCCTATTTCTGATCGTGCTCCTACAACCAATGTCCAAGGACATAGAGCCACCAGAAGGCTCTGGGTTGAGGGTGTCAACCACAATGCTACCCTTCTCTCTCATAATTTAAGGAATGTTTGGTGGCCTTTCAGACATGGACCCTGGAGGGTCTGAGATCAATAACAAGAATGTCAAACTGAGGACACACCTCCATTTTCAGCGATGCCTCAATTGTTGACTTGGGCATGTGTTTGCTGCGACACACCTCTAAGATGCTGGCCAGATTGCTGTTGAGCTCAGGGTTGGGGCCTCCTTCTGAGATAGACAGAAAAGAGTGAGTGAAAATATCTCATTACAGCATGGAATAAAAACGAGATTTCTGCGCCCTGCCTCCCCAAGCCAATAGAGTGGCAAGTCACCCTCCAGCTCTCGGTTAGTTTATCCAGAGTTCGAATGGGATATGGTGGAGAAGTATTTTGGAAAAGTAGTTTCTAATTCACTCTGTCTTTAAGGATGGATATCTTTCTGCTAGGTTTCAGCAAACAACACTTTGCATCAGATGAAGAGGTAACAGATGTAAATGGTACCAACATTTCCTGGACTTATTAGTACCCCTTGCTCTGATTCTACTATTTTGTGCTTAATTATTGAAATACTCATGACATTATAATCATGCTCTCTCTGAGGGTAGGGGCTATATCTCATTATCCTTGTATTATCAGTGCCTGGCACATAACAAACACTCAATAGTGTTGGTTGAACTCAACATCGACAATTTAGTATAAAAGGAAGCAAAGAGAAATACCAGGCATGAGTTCTAGAGGTAAATGAATATTTACCAAGTGCCTATTATGTGCCAGAAACTACTTCAAGGTGGGCACTATCCCTGTTTTACAGAAGGGAACTGAATCTCAGCAAGGTTAAGCCATTTGCTCAAGGTCATACAGTAAGTGACAGAAACCAAGTCTTCCTGACTCCAAAGTCCGTGCTTTTTACAGGATTTTTTCTCCACTCTTACAAATACAAAAAAGCCTTTTGTTACAGTGGCTATATAACTGAGAAGAGACATGATTGCAAACCCACCTTCCAAGAAAATATATCTCAGGAACCCTAACTAAGCAAACTGAGGCCTAGGCAAGTAATAGCTTTACTCAATGCCCCAGCCACAACCTGTGTGCCACCAGAGGGGACTGCAGAGGGCTTGATTTGTCTCTTCAGGAGAGAGACACATGTGACTTTACTCTTAGGGTCTGTTTCTATGAAATACCCAGCTGCAGACTAGGATGAAGTCTTATCTCCCTTTTACCATCTTATCTTCCTAAGAAGAGCAGCTCCCTGACAAGATGGCAGACGCTCAGCGTCTGTAAAGGTGCGTGGGGACACCCAATGTAGATAGGTTCTTACGTTTAACCGCTAGGCGGATGCTCAAACAGAGCTTGGAGAAGATGCGACTTCTTTCGGTGTCCTTGGGACCCTTGATGTGCCGGACTTTGGACCACTTGTTGTGCCCGGCGGGGACCGCCGCGGTGAGGTGCAGCATCCTGCCCCGATCGGGGCTACAGTCCGAGGACGCAGGCTGGGAGGCCGGGGGGCCGAGCGGAAGAGCCGCCCGGGCCCCGGGGCCTCGCGCCCACAAGCAAGGGGCAGCGGCCCTGCTCAGGCTGACGGCAGTCCAAGCTGCCATGGGCTCCGACCCTGGGCCAAGGTCAGCAAGAGCAGCGAAAGAACAGCGGCCAACGTCGGCCCGTTCCGTGTGCCGCCGAAACAACCAGGTCTGGAGCCTGTGGTGGCTTCCACCCGTCACCGGAGACCTAAAGGCTCAGGCTCACCGGGGACAGCCGGAACGCGAACGACCCGCACCGTCCCCGCAGAAGCCGGGAGTGGGTACCCTCGATAGTGCAGCACACTTCCTTTCCCCAGTCCGTTCCAAAAATGCCTCCCCAGCGCCGGCAAAATCCGTTCCGCCGTCGCACGGTACTCGCTCGTCTCACACAACCGTGCGGAACTCGGGCCGAGGTGGGGGAACCCCATGCTCAATCCCTCCCGGTTGCTTGGGGAGCTCAGGATTTTATTTCCCACAATGATCTGATAGATACATCTGAGTTATGAAGCTGATTTTGCTTCCGAATTGCTTCCTAACTCTGAGCAGGTCCAGAATGATAAACGTTTTATTGTTGCAAAGAAATATGTTATTCAACCGCCACCCAGAGATGCGATTTGCCCAATCATTTAGTCTCGCTGAACTTCCTCTATCCTATCTGTAAATAAGGATGCTACTACTTGCTTTACCAACACAGGAAGATTGAAAACACAAAATAAGCCTTTGGAACATTAAAGTAAAAAGGTTTTATATAGATAGCAGCAGCGTAAAGCCTTCTTAGGAGTCCTCCTTTGAATTTTTAGCAGTCACTTATGAATTGTTCTTTTATTATTTGTTATCCAAGCTACTTGGGCTGAGACTATCCTTGTATCTGGCAGGTTAGAAACACCAGGTTGCTCCTAGTACTTCTCCCAATTCCTGTATTAAGCACAGACCTGTGTCCTTGCTGGTCTATGTTCCGCCTCACTTCACACATGGCTAATTTTTGTTTTTCCTTCCGGATTCAGCTCAGGTATCATTTTCCACCAGAGGAAAACATCTTCAAATTCTCCACTTGGGCTTAGATGCCCTACTCTGTGTGCTCACATAACCCTTCACGCCTTCATGTCTGTACCTTAGCACTTACCTTTTTCAAAATGTTTATGTCTATCTCCGCCACAATATTAAATTCTTTGAGAGCAGGGCTGTACTTGCCCAGCACAGTTCTTGGGTTTTTTTTAATAACAACTTTATTGACATATAATCCACATATGGTCCAATCACCAATTTAAAGTATACAATGGTTTTTAGTATATTCACAGATGTGTGCAGCCATCACCACAATCAGCACAATTGGCAACCACCAATTTACTTCTGTCTCTATGGGTTTACCTATTCTGGACATTTCATGTGATGAAATCATACAATATGTGGTCCTTTATGATGGGCTTCTTTCACTTAGCATAACATTTTCACGGTTCATTCATGTTTTAGCATGTATCAGTACTTCATTCCTTTTTATTGCCAAATAATACTCCATTGTATGAATATACATTTTATTGATCCATTCATCAGTTGATGGACATTTGAGTTGTTTCTACCTTTTGACTATTATGAATAATGCTGTTGTGAACATTCATGTACAGGTTTTTATGTGGAGACATGTTTTCATTTCTCTTGAGTATACCTAGGAGTAGAACTGATGGGTCATATAGTAACTCTATATGTTTAACCTATATGTTTAACTCTATAAAACTCTATGTTTAACCTTTTGAGGAACTACTAGACTGTTTTCCAAAATGATTGCATCATTTTACATTCCCATCAGCAATAGGTTTCCATTTTCTCCACATCCTTGCCAACACTTATCATCATCTCTTTTTGACTATAGCTGTTGCCATCCTAGTAGGCATGAAATGGTATGTCATCGTGGTTTTGATTTGTATAGACAGTCCCCAACTTATGATGGATCGACTTACAATTTTTCAACTTTACAATGATGCAAAAGCAATATGTATTCAGTAGAAATCGTACTTTGAATTTTGATCTTTTCCTGGGCTGGCGATATGCAGTAGGATTCTCTCTTGTGATGCTGGGAAGTGGCAGCGAGCCACAGCTCCCAGTCAGCCATGCAATCACGAGGGTAAACAACGGATACACTTACAACTATTCTGTACCCATACAACCATTCTGTTTCTCACTTGCAGTACAGCAGTCAATAAATTACATGAGGTAGTCAACACTTTATTAAAGAACAGGCTTTGTGTTAGATGATTTTGCCCAACTGTAGGCTAATGTAAGTGTTCTGAGCACGTTTAAAGTAGGCTAGGCTAATCTATGACATTCGGTAGGTTAGGTGTATTAAATGCATTTTCGACTTTGAACATTTTCAACTTATGATGCATTTATCAGGATGTAACCCCATTGTAAGTCAAAGATCTGTATTTCTCTAATAACTAATGATGTTGAGCATCTTTCCATGTGCTTACTAGCTATTATAGTATTATGTTTTGTAATTTAAAAATACATTGTACACCTTAAACTAATACAATGTTGTATGTCAATTATATCTCAATAAAACTGGAAAAATATATAGTTTAATACAAATGTTACTTTGAGTAGTAAAAAGCAAATGAATGGAATTTATAATTGCAAATAAGTGTAGAGGCCAAAACAAAGTTTGAGATTGCCCTCGCCCAATCAACCTAAGTCACCAGGCAAACCTATAGTCCAAGGAAGGCAGGCTGACTCGCTGCCAACAAGGAAGACTGCACACCAGACGAGGCGAGGGTGGGGTGGGGTGGGGGGCTGGGCGGGTCTCACCAGACAAAGGAAAAGACAGGATTATGGGGAAGGGTAGAGGTTAGGTAAAATTTCAATGAAATGAAGTTTGACAGGCTCAAAGGAACACAGAACTGTATAAAAAGAGGATCAACATCAGCTGTGGACTGCAAAGCGGACCCAGGGTTTGGTTTCCTTGGAAACTACGAAGTTAAGATAGATGTGGAATGATGTGTTCAGACACCCCTGATTTGAAGCTCTACACCCGGGTTGGAAATCAAGGCTGCTTCTCTGTCACAGTGACTTAGATTCTCCAAGCAAGACTGTAAAGCTACATTCTCACTGATATAATTTCAAACAGCAAACTTTCTGACAGTCTACGATTTTAGAGAACAAAGTTTCTCAGTGAATTAAAAAAAACTAGTCACTCAGAGAATGGAATTGTTATGACTCTTTAAGTTGCAGTGTGCTTGGGAGAAACATTGTTTCCTGTTAACTTTGCAGCTGGTTTTATCTGTGTCTGTTTATCTGTGATGAATGGCAGGGCAGATTTTTATTTTCTCAGTCTAAGCTAATATTTACTGTCTCACAATAAATTCACAGGTGACTGAACCATCTCTAGAGGCCTGGTTGTCAGTATCACTGAAATCATTAACTAACAATGAACCTTGGATGCTAGAGACTGGCTGAAGGCATCATTCTGTTAGGTTTTTTTTTTTTTTGTGTGAGGAAGATCAGCCCTGAGCTAACATCCATGCTAATCCTCCTCTTTTTACTCAGGAAGACCAGCTCTGAGCTAACATCTATTGCCAATCCTCCTCCTTTTTCTTCCCCAAAGCCCCAGTAGAATAGTTGTACGTCGTAGTTGTACATCCTTCTAGTTGCTGTATGTGGGACGCCACCTCAGCATGGCTGGAGAAGCGGTGCGTCGGTGCGCGCCCAGGATTGGAACCTGGGACGCCAGTAGTGGAGCGCACACACTTAACCGCTAAGCCAGGGGGCCGGCCCCCATTCTGTTAGGTTTGAACAAGCGTTGTCCAGTACTAGCAGCTCTCAATGAATGAGATGACATTGGTTATTATTCCAGATACTTTGCTAATTTGATGGTGTGGCAGAGGCATTATGATCTATTTACCACTTTATTCCCCTTCCTAGGCAAACGGACTGCATTTCTTGACCTTCTTGCAGTTAGGTTGGAACCATGTGACCACATTTGGCAGATATGGGCAGAAGTGAGTAAGCCACTTCCAGGCCTATCCTGAAAAACATACTTCCCCCTGCTCCAAAGTGACCTTAGAGGCCACATGTTCTGGATGATGTAGCTGCAGGTGAAGGAGGGCTGACCAACCTCCAACAGACTTCATGTAAGCAAAAAACCAAACTTTTGTGTGCTCAGTCTCCAAGATTTGCGGGTTTGTTACTGCAGTATAACCTAGTCTATCAAGATGAATACAGTCAGTATTACTCTCCAGCTTTCCCCTTAAAAACTCAAGAGCAAGAATCACATATTTCCCATAAAATATACCCTGTTAGACCATGTAGCACAGCTCCAACAGAGCCAGCAGCTGCTCTTTTTGCCACATAAAATTTAAACTTCTCTACACAGACCCACTGCCACCCTCAGCTCCGTCTTCTAACACAGTGGCAGACACTAAATCCTAGGTCACTGAACCAATCACAATTTGCCTTTCTTCTCTTCCCTTGAAATGGCCCAACATGAGCAAAGAATGAAAATCAAAATAAATGGGGGGAGTATTCATGCAGGACTCACAGCATTTGAGTGGCAGTGGGGATAGGAACTCCTTCTCCATCCTACCATGTCGGGGCACAGGCTTGGGAAACTGGCTTCGACTTGGAAACTCTAGAGCTGTCAGAGCCTGGTGTCCAAACCCATGGGATCTGGGAGTTATTTCTTTGCCATCCTTCACAGCCAATAGATTACTGATTCCTGACTATCCCATCTCTTAAGTCTCTTCCGTTGTGTCCTGTCTTCCTCTCTGCTGCTGCTTAGTTCAGGCTTTGACTTTTTTCTCACTTTGACTATATTAATAGGTGAACTGACTCCCTGTCTCACCCCCCACTCAGAGGCACTTTCTTCACTGCCTCCTAAAATGCAATTCTGAGCATCACTTCCCTCTACGTACATTTTCCAAAGTCTCATACAGGAGTAAGGTCTAAACTTTCTGCAAAACATACAAGACTCTGCCTGATCTGGCTCCTGCTTACTTCTTTAGCCACATTTCCCACATTCCCCATAGGAAACCCCACATCAACTTGTAAATCTCTGAATGTGATCACATTCTTGCCTTTATAGATCTGTACAGAGATGTTCTCTCTGTCTTAAATGCTTTTCCCTATTCCCAGAGAACTCCTATTCAGCCTTCAAAACCCAGTTCAAGCATCCTTCGTCTTGTGAAGTTTTTTTTCCCTGACCCCCTCTGGGTCCCACCCAGTCATAGGTAATGACCAACTCCTCAGGGCCATCAGTAAGCCTGAACAGACCTGTTAGTGCACAACACTGTATTTGTTCATGCGGATGTCTCCTCTAGTAGACTGTGAGCAACTTGACGGTCACGGCCCCCAGCATAGCAAAGGTGCTCTCTGTT